TGGAACGAATAATTCCATTATACAAAAGATATTCAATGTATTGTATTCATATTTAAATTGATCGTGGCAGTGGCATTATTTGAAATATATACAAAAAGAGTCATTTTGTTTGTTAATTAACGAGATTTCTGATTTATTTATACTTCCTGGGATACAACAGGCAACTCCTCTCCACAAAGATATATTTTTATTACTCCCGGGCGAAAACGATGCTAACGAAAATATTGATTAACCGTTACATATAAGATATAAAATATTCAAAATTGTATCAAATGCAGCGCAACTTTTCGAATGTTTCCAAGAATTGCCTAAATGTTGCCAGGCAGGGTGACTATTTACGGTATATTATATACTTTCCGGTATATTTTAACTACGAAAGTGAATTGAACGTATACTTGCTGTATTTCGGTATATAATGGTATATTTAATCAATTTTATCCGTCTAATAAAGTCAATTTTTAGGGTATATTTAAAAATGTGGGGTTCAAAACAGCCATACGCATGTTTTTCATATATTCCTCCCAAAAATGTGTATATTCCATCCCACTTCCTCTTTGGTCCGTTCAGAACATAAATTGTTTGGGACATTGGTTCCCAAATTTTGCAGATTATGTATACCGAAAATGTATCTAAATCAATAAATGTAAACACATAGAAAAATATGAAATGGTTAAAACCATGTCAGTCTAAGATAAAGTCATTTTTAATGTTTAAGAGCAGCTTGGAAAAAATAATCTGAATGTTAATTAATGAAAATAGTGTAAACAACGGTACATAACATGTCATACCACCGGTTGACACGCAACAAGTTGTCAAATACGTAACATCCATGCCCACTCACGTAACGTCTTATGCTGTTTTTGTTGGTTGACCTTTTTTGTTTTAAACTTAATTTGGAAACATTCTAATAAAAGGATGTCATGAAAACTAACCAGTCTTATGGAAAATCTATTCATCAATCGGATAAAAGTATAGGTTTGAATCAGAATATTAAAAACTAGGTAAATGATTGAATATCACGGTACCTAGAAGTGTGAGCGCATATTATTTTTAGTTTTACTTTTCGCAAATTTGCATCCTGAAGGGTGATTTTTTGAGCTCTCGTATACAAAAGTTTAAATAAAACTGAACAGGTAAATATAAAATATTAAAAATACTAACAAGCGTCCTCTGTGGGGCTAACATATACAATTCAACTGCTTTGCTGCGGTTTTTTGTTTTTTAAAGGCTAAGATTTTCCCTTTCAATTTCATGTACCTTTAATCAGATTAATCTTCAATCGACTTTTGATTTAATAATTCAGGAAATATTTGTTATTGGTATGTAGAAAATTTGTATTTACTACATATGTAGATAAAATGACACTTTTTCGTATCTTTTTTGTTTATACCTTAGAATATACAAGACAGTTTTAGAAAATAGTAATATAATAAGTTTAATTTCAGATATCTGATTCTTCAATTGGATAAAACTATAGTTTTATTTCTGAGAGTCCTTACTAGCTGGTAATATTCAGCTGTATATCAAATTGAGAAAAATGTTTTAGGATAAACAGTATATTTCCGGTATATTTTAAAAATGAAAAGGTATGTTTTGGAGTGTCAGGCGGCATATTTGATCGATAAATCCGCGGTCACACTGAGCTGTAGCGATTAAATATTAAATACAAAAAAAAAACGAATGAACGTGAACGCACGCGCGGCGCATAATTATTTTTTCGTTTAGTGAAAGTGTAAGTAGTTGTGCCTGTGATCCATGTTGTTGGTGTTGTTGCAGCGGCAGCAGCGCCTCTCTGTGCACAATACACACATCACACGGACACGGGGCCGCCGCCATATTAAAATGGCAAAAAGTTAGTCGTCGTCGGCATTCGATAAATAATCACACTCTCCAACAAAACACACCCATACATAAACGAATCGAAAAGCGAATAAAAACGAATAATCCGCACATACTCGATGGAAAAAAAGGGGGAACTAAAAGAAAAAACGCCAAGTACAAAGTGCCAAAAAAAATACTTATGTATATGTATATAGTTATATATGTATTGTACAACGTGAACAGCGAGAGAGACGCACGCGTTGCAAGTAAAAGTAATTAGAACGAGAAGCCTGTACAAAGCGGTGAAGAGGAGGAGAAGAAGGTAGCAAAAGTGCCAATGAAAAACCATATGCAAGTTTTTGTTTTTTCCAATTTTTTTTTTGGTATTTTCCTGGATTTTTTCTCGCGTTAGGAGCAGGGAAAAAGTATATGCGGAAGCAAGGTGTAGCAAATCGAAAAAAAAGTCAGCAGAGCAGCGGCTGCGGCCTCTCTGCCCTCTGCGTGTGTGTGTTTGTGTGTGCGCGCGCGTGCCTATGTGTGTGTGTGCGTGAGGCGGCAGCTAAAAGAAAGCAGTAAAAAAATTAAACGAAAAGAAATGTAGGAAAATGTATATACCTAAAAATGAATAATCCTATATTAACAATTTATATATTTTTTTAAATAAATACAAATTCTGGCGCTCGCAAATGTGTGGCTGTGTGTGTGTGTGCTCGCTCTGCTCTCTTTCTCTCTTTTTTTCACCCCATTCGTGCGCCTGCATATGTGTGTGGCTGCTTTACTTTGTTAATTACAAAAAAAAGAAAAGAAAATGATTAAAGGAGAAGTTCTGCGAAGTGTGGAGAGAGTGTTCTTCTGTGAGCAGCGCAAATTCGGTACAAAATTCTACACGAAAATGGGAATCGCGTTACACAAGCGCACCCGCTGCCTCTCTCCTCCTCTGACTCTCTCCCTGTCCCTGCTCATGCCCTACCCGTCCCCTTCCTCATTCTTATAGCGATAGGTGAACAAGTGTACGTGAGTGTCGCGTGTCCCCCGCCTATTTGAGTGTGTGTGTGTGTGTGTTCGAGTGACTTCAATGGTTTTTTTTCGAGTGCTGCAAAAATTGAATGAATAAATAAATACTACATGAAATTGTTGCAAAGTAAAATCAACAAACAAACACACGGACACGGTCAGAGGCGGCACAGACACTCTGCTCCGCGCCCAAAGCGAACACAAAACTGCAATTGACGACGTTGCTGCTGCCAATGCCTATAGCCTGCGCTGACGCTGACGTCGGCGTCAGTCGGCACAGTGGAACAATGTCAGGTGAGTAGCAGCGCCAGGAGCGCTCAGCAGTCAGGTGTGTGTGTGTGTGTGTGTGTGTGTGTGTGTTTGGTCGGGGCTGTTCAATCTTTATAAGACCGGACCAGAAGCACACTTGCCACTCCATAGTTTGTAACTGTCAAATTGGAACCCCCAATATCCCACCATATGATCGATCAACCTACAAAGGAGGGTTCAGTGTCGTTCGTTGAAGGATCTCTATAGAAGGGTGTTTGTGGAGCTTGCTCCAAAGGGCAAGACGAATCAGTTATTAATGCCCAACTCTTTCGAGTTGATTCGCAATTCGGATTCATTTTAAGTGCCCCTAAGTAGATAATCCAAACGATCTCTAATTGGATTACAGCAGTCGTGAACTCTCTTCTCTCCAGTTTTATTCGGACTATTTTCAATGCGAATTTCAATGATTTGTTTCACAGAGCTTATCTCTTATAGTAATCCCCGAATATCTTTCTTACATATGTAAATGGCAAAAAAACTCTAAAATTCTCTCCATAAAAGTTGAAAAAAAAGTAAAAAGAAAACGTCACCGAAATTGACTTTACTGTCCTCGCGAGGATTACTCATGCTGTTCGAGAGGATATGGGGAGTTGGATGGGGGGCGGCCAGTCGTCCGGTCGGTCGATGTTGGGCTTTTCTCTAGTAGTATGAGGCGGCCCCATCGTACGAGTAATTGATGATATTTATTTCTGACCCACTATGCCGCCTGTGACAGCGTCCGATGGTCGACTTGGGGACGGGCGTACGGGTGCCGGCAAATGCGGCGATGCTTCCATAATGAACCGTACGACGCGCCGGTCGAAAGGAATTTAAATTAAATAAAATTAAATTTGTGCGAAAATTCTTTTTATCACGTTGGCTTTGCTTCATTTTTTGTAGTTGTTGTTGCTGTTGGTTATTATTGTGTTGGCTGGCAGTTGGTGGGGGCAACCTCATCATTAATTCTGATTGCAAAGTGCAATGCTTGGGATTGAAAATGACATTGAAATTGACTCCTAAGACAGAGAGACTCACACAAAGTAAATGAAAAGACCAACAAGAGAGCAAGATATGGTAGCCAGTAGTATGGAATGAAAAGGGGTAGATCCCTCAGTTGAGAATATAAAAAGACTTTATCAAAGATCGGAGGTAGAATAGATCTATGCCATAACCAATCTATTAGATGGCAGCACAAAAAAACTTTCTTTCTGGCTTTAATTTTGTTACAAGTCACGCGTGAAATTTGATGCCTGTCCTCGAGTTTTATTTGATAACAAATAAAGGCAAAAGTCCACAGAAGGAAGGAGGTCTACTGCTTGCAGGCAATGCATTTATGGGGGGGGGATGAGAATAGCTAGCGAAAGAGAGCGCAGGCACTAGGAACCCACGCCCACGCCATACCCATACACATATGAAGTCATGCCAAAAGGTTGAATGCCAGAGTTGTCAACTTCCTGTGGCGGCACACAGACACGTGTGCACACACTGCTTAAGCGTGACCGAAGACGGGGAGGGAGAGTCGAAGAGCATGGCCTGGCAACCTATTACGGAATTATTTAAAACAAGTTTCTTTCTGGCTCTGCTTTTCTTCCAGACAGCTGTTTGTGTCCTACCAATACAAAGATGAATGAGTGCACATGTATTTCTGTCTCTGTGTGTGTGTGTGCCGTTTCGTTGGCAACACTTTTCCTGCGCGTGCCAGAGTTGTCCTTCGCCTGCGCGTGACATTCCGATACTTTGTACACAATTTTATCGATTACCGCATAGCAGGAGCCAACCACCAGCAGCAGCTGGTTTAGCAGCACCTGGCATTTCATTGAGATATACATATATGTACACGCAATGTACATGTATATAAAAGCAATAATCTGGTTATATTTATATACCCATTCATCCCAATATTTATTCGTGTTGGGTAGAGCAACAACAACAACTACAGGGAAAGGATATCGGTCGCCCTCCCGAACCGAACGGTCAATCGACTCAGTGACACACGACGAGGCGGGCGGCCTGTGACTGTCCTGTGCCACAGCATGGCGCACTAGTTGCGCCCCCACTGCAGCAGTAGCAGTAGCAGCAGCACCAGCAGTGCCCGGAATGCCAGCAGCAACATTCCGTTTAGTTCCAGTCAAAGCTGGATGATGCCTTAAGCTTGCTGCTACGTCCTTGCTGTACTCCCGTGTTCCGTTTTGCCCGCTTTTGTTTCGGGCACGGTATTCGGTGGTTTTTGCTTTCTTTCATTCTGCCCTGCTTCGTTGTCGTTCAATTGCGTCGCGTTCCCTGCCAGCAGCAGTGGGGTGGTGTTTCAAAATCAATGCAAAAGATTTTTCGCTGGCTCTCTGACGTGTTCGTGCTTTCCGAAACTTTTCAAACAAATATTTTGTAAATTTTTGTGTGTGTTTGTGTGTCTCGTTTTCCTGTGCCGCAATCAGCTGTTGTCCGGGAAGGAGCAGGAGCTTACATAATTATGTGCATGTGTGTGTGTGTGTGTGTGTGTGTCACGTGTGTTTTTTCTGTGTGCAAAGCAAGTCGCGTGGGTGTGGGCCACCTACAGTGCTTGTGCACCATTCAAATGATGCATAAAATGCTGCTGCTATGCCTCTGCCTCTGGGATTATCTCTTAGGTTCCCCTCTTAGGGGGATAACTTCATCCGAAGAGAGTGCCGAGTGCCGTCACGTGGTTGGTGGCAGCCGAGGCGGAACAGTTAAAATAAAGAAATGAACTGCTTGTTAAGTGGTAACCTGCTTGTCAAAGGATTTACTTTGCCATTCAGCCAGTGACCTAAAGTGTGTATGAAATTAATTGGATTCAATAATAATTCTCTAATTGGATGATTATAATATTTTATCACCATCTGGCGAGGGAAATATTAACTTCCCTTCTATTTTAGTGTGTGTTTGGTGTGTTCCTAAACCTGCATTCAACATTCGATCGTCTTGTACAAAAATTGATATTTTTGTTCTGTGAAATGTTATTAGTGATGTGAGTTAATACCGAAGGGAATTACAACCACCAACGACAACCCACAGGATTCACTACGCCGTAAGTTGGATTGGGAGGGAGGGATTAGCCAAATAAGACTTAACAGCTGACTCCGTGACAATCAATCAGCTGACAAACTGATCGTAGCGGAGCGTGGAAAAAGAATGGAAAACCACCTTACATGCCCTCCCCATTTATTCAACCCCAAAAGTGTAATCTATAAACGATTCTATCGCTATCTACTGATAGAATTAACCTGGTATTCCTTTGTGCTTGTCTATGTGTTCGTTTTCGAAACAAAAGAATAAAGTGCAAATATAAAGATTTAAAACTCCGCTACTCATTCCCTGCGATAAGATTATAATGGGGAGGGGGTTCATGTTCGGTTCGACTTCTTTGTTGTTTAATTCACATAACATACATACATTTATGTACATATTCATGTACTTTCTATGTACTACATTTATTTCCATGACATTACGTAGTTTTACCTTTGTTTGTGGCTTCATTGTGGCTAGCTCTGGGTGTGATTCAGACTCTTTTACAAATGGTTTAGACATTTCAGGACTCAACTCGTTTCAAATGAGTTGGCAAGCAGTTTAGCCCCTAAATCGTTGGCTGGTCAATTGTCCAATCATTTTATATGACTACTGAAGTGGACACATTTTATCAACAGCTGTTTTTATTTTATTTTATTTTTGCATACTGTTTCCAGCTGTCGAGCGAACTGATTGTTCGAGTGGAGCTCTGGTCTGGTATTTCCAGACCTGGTGTAATACCATTCCGTAGTCAGTTCGTTCATAATGTTCAGTAAGTGCAATTCAAACTTAGCAAGCAGTTTATTTTGAAAGTGAAAACCTGGGTAGAGTGACCTAATAAGCTTTACTCTTGATAGTTTACTGTAAATGGACAAGCAGTAAATTATCAGCGGCAAGCAGTTGATTCATCCAAGATGCAGTGACGTGACTTACAACCGCAATTGCAGTGCATAAGCCAGTTTATTATTTCTTCTGATATGTTTGCTCTCCTACAAAATTCGTAGTTCTATCCCCATTCCCCGTCTTATGGTAAAGCCTGACGTCTGTCCGTTTTACCGAAATTCAATCGTAGAAGGGATACAAGGTAGGATGAAAATTATTCATGAAAGTAGAAACAAAAAATGAATAAAATAAAAAATGTGAAAACACGCAAAGGACTCTTGCATTTCTCCTTCTCTTGTGCCGTTTGTTGATTGGGGCGCGTGTATCAATAAATAAAGCAACTAAAAATACGTGTGAGAAGCACGCGAAAATAGCCGGCGAGAGGAGTGGAATATGCCAAGAGGGAAAAGCGGAAAATGTGTGGTGGGTGTGGGGGAGGCAGAGGCGTGGGCCCGAGGAATTTGTGACGTGCGAAAAAGAAGCAGCTTTCAGCTTTTGCTGCTACGGGGGCGGATAACCCAATGGACCCGGCCCCCTTTTGCCTAAAAATAAAACCATATAGGCGACAAACAGACATTTGGAGAGGGGGCTCTAACGCCACGAAAGTGTAGGTTGAAGGTAGAAGATACATATCTATATGGAAATGTGTGGTGGTATGGCAGCGTTTTAAATTCAATTAAAATCGTAAAAACTAACGTAAATTGAACTGCCAAAAGCAAATGAAATGGCACAAATCACAAAATGTATAATTAATGCTGTGGCAAAGTGAAGTGGAATTTCGATTCAATCCCCCCCGACTAGTCTTCTGGACAAAGTAATTCCATTTTGATTAAATCCACCACAGGGAAACTAATTCTCAAAAGATAATTTAGTAGTCATAAATGGCAAGCGGGACAGGGGTCCGTCCAGCACCTATTAAAAAATATTACGCGTAGCAATTGAAATTAAATTGTTTTCAAAAGGGTTTCGGGTTTCCAGCTGGTGTGTCGTGTCGCCGTACAAATTGTAGAACAATATTTATATAAAGCTTTGATGATTGATACACAAACAAAGGGAGCGAAGGGATAGCAGAGGGTCGGGAGCGGCTCTTGTTTGTTTATAGAGAAAACATAATTTAAATACAAAAAAAGGCACGCTTTGCGTACCGAATTTCAGGCCGTTTTTTTTCACAGATGCTCAGCAAAAATTGATGCACGACAAATCATGGTAACCTTTCTTTCCCTTTCTCTTTTATGGCATAAAGAGAGCCAGAGACGGCGAGCTCTTCCCACTCGTACATATCGTACCAGACCTCTTCCTCATGCGGCCTCTGTGTCGGCTGCTGCCAAAATGTTTTCCTTGACGCTTTTAACCTTGATGGATTCGCCACCATGCCACCCCGCAACCCCCTGCCGTTTGAATGGTGTGTGCGCAGAGGGGAGGATGGGATTGCCGTTTGTTTGCGGGGAAATGCCATAGCATACTTTTTGGAGTGCGGCCGCACTTGTCCTTCTCTTCCTTCTGCTTTTCCTACTCGTCCTTTTCCTTTTTGCACCTCCTCGTTTTCTGCCCTTCGCCCAGTGTCTCCTTGGCTGGGGCATTGATTTATTTTTGTTGGCTGTTTTGTGTATTTAGTTTTTGGTTTTTTGTTTTTTTTTTTTGTGAGAGTTGCCAGGCGCAAGCAGTCCCCCACCCTTCAGACATCGGTCGATAATTGATAGCCATCCGCATAGCTTCGCTCCTCCAAAGATGATGGCATCGATGGGTTCCAATAAACCCCCCTCACAGCCCATTTTCTGGGTAAAATTGGGAAGGAAGGGGGTATGGGTATGGGATTTCTTTCAGCTGATCTTCCTCCACAGGATACATTATCCACACTGATATTTTGGGATATGTAGAATAATCTTTGTGGAAATATAGATAGACAGAAAATGTAACAATTATTAGTTTTTAAATTCAATCACATTCTCTTTTCGCTTGTGCGTCGCGGCTCATGCATTAACGCGCACCGCCTGATATATTGGGGTATGCAATGCAATCTCTGATAGTTTTAAATATTAAATTAAAGAGAAGGAAATTGGCTTAACATTAAGCAAACTACTAACTGCCATTAAACCTGTCCTCCCTGTCTACCTTTCGCTACTGCCTCCTACCACCTGTACAGCAACAAATATGTGATGGACGGGAAGGGATGGTGAGAGTGCTGTGCTGGCGACGTACGACCTTCGCCTCATTTCGCTTCGTTTTTGCACACATTTTTCTTTGGTCAAATTTTGAATGAGAGCTAATTGAATGAATGGAAATGTAAGCAGTAGCTGTGTTGGTGTGTACACCTATGCATATACACACACACACACACACACACACATAAAGGGTGGTGCAGTAGTGGTAGGTTAGGGGTCTCGTTGGAAGGGGGAAAACGGTGGGGACTCTGCGGCATTTGGTTTTTGTGGGTCAAATGGCTGCCGTCGTCGTTGTCGTCGTTGTCGTCGCTGTCGCTGTCGCTGTCGCATGACGACAGCGCGTCCTCGTCGTCGGTGTGTCGCCAATGTTGCTGTCTCGCTTGCTCTTCACAGCTTTCTTTGTGCGCGCCCCCCCCTCCAGAAGCTCCCTTGTAAATTGTCCCTTTTTTGGCATAGAATTTATTGCATGCAGTTTTTGGGGCCGGGGCCGGGGCCGGGTCCGGCTTTTGCGTGGTTGAGAGTCATAAATTATGTGCTCTCTGTGCTGTATTGCCCTCCTTACTCTCTCTGTCAGTCGCTTTGGCAAACTGAGAGCTTTTGTTGTTGTTGATCTATTTAAAAATGAAATGGTGTCATTGTCAGGCGGTCGCTTGCAATTGGCACACGGCCCATGTCTCTCCCTCTCTCATTTTACTCTCTGCTCTCAGTCGTTTGCTTCTCTCTCTCTCTCTCTATCTCTCTCCACTCCACACTCTCTGGGGATATGGTGTAGATGGGGGGGGGGGAATGTACACAGTCAATTAGGCAGCCACTCAATCCGCCTGCCGTCCGTTTTCTGCGACGCCTAATTGAATTGTTGGTGTTTTTTTTTTTAGTTATCCTTTTAATATTATTACTCCAATTATTATAGCAATAAATGCTTGTGGGGTTGGGCAGCTTGGCTAGTTGAACCCCACGCGGATCGATCAATTTGAACCACGCCCAAGAAGAGCAAAAGCAAAGGCTATAATGAGCTTCACCACGCTCCTGAACTGACTGACGGCTATTATTTATTGTCCGTTGCACAATGAATATGGGCATAAGGGTATTCATATATTAGTTTTGTGGTGGATGTGGAAGGNGTCGCCAATGTTGCTGTCTCGCTTGCTCTTCACAGCTTTCTTTGTGCGCGCCCCCCCCTCCAGAAGCTCCCTTGTAAATTGTCCCTTTTTTGGCATAGAATTTATTGCATGCAGTTTTTGGGGCCGGGGCCGGGGCCGGGTCCGGCTTTTGCGTGGTTGAGAGTCATAAATTATGTGCTCTCTGTGCTGTATTGCCCTCCTTACTCTCTCTGTCAGTCGCTTTGGCAAACTGAGAGCTTTTGTTGTTGTTGATCTATTTAAAAATGAAATGGTGTCATTGTCAGGCGGTCGCTTGCAATTGGCACACGGCCCATGTCTCTCCCTCTCTCATTTTACTCTCTGCTCTCAGTCGTTTGCTTCTCTCTCTCTCTCTCTATCTCTCTCCACTCCACACTCTCTGGGGATATGGTGTAGATGGGGGGGGGGGAATGTACACAGTCAATTAGGCAGCCACTCAATCCGCCTGCCGTCCGTTTTCTGCGACGCCTAATTGAATTGTTGGTGTTTTTTTTTTTAGTTATCCTTTTAATATTATTACTCCAATTATTATAGCAATAAATGCTTGTGGGGTTGGGCAGCTTGGCTAGTTGAACCCCACGCGGATCGATCAATTTGAACCACGCCCAAGAAGAGCAAAAGCAAAGGCTATAATGAGCTTCACCACGCTCCTGAACTGACTGACGGCTATTATTTATTGTCCGTTGCACAATGAATATGGGCATAAGGGTATTCATATATTAGTTTTGTGGTGGATGTGGAAGGAAGAAAGCAGCAGAAAGCATCAGCAGGCGACAAATCTTAAGATTAAATTCATATTCACATACTGACTATTCCTATTGCGTATGAAAGGCACATCAAGTTTCCCGCTGGTTTTTTTTTATTTTGCTGACTCCCTTTTGCTTATTTCCATCCCGCAAACCTACGCGCTTTTGCATTGATTAACA